TTGACTGCATTACCAACGTATCTATCATCGCCATGACAAGAAGTAGTAAATTTTTTTTGTAATACAAATTTCCGGTTACAAAATTATCGGTAACGTGCATAATAAGCCTGTTTTAGCGAGTACTGAAAAACATTTCAGAATATCCTTCATTTGAATTGATCTTTTGAGAAATTTTATTTAAAAATTTGCTACTATGCGATGGTTGCGAGTAGAGATTAGAGTAAGCAATGAGCCTTATTAAAAAAAAATATATATATATTTTTTTTTTATATATATTTGCGTAACTTTAAAAAGTTAACATATTCATAACATTTTCATAGTTATACAGCCTTACAAATCAATGTTATAGTTTTATGAATTTGGTTGCAAAAGTGAGTCTAGGATTTTGTTGAATACGTATGCTTGAAAAACTATACTTTCTTTAACCGACTTCACAAAAAAGAGAAAGGTTATCAATTCGTCTTGTGTACATGTTTATTTATAAACGTATGTGTTCCTATTCTTTCGTACGTGTTTATTGATATATCTGTACTGTAGTGTTTTCGGACGGTACTAGCTCTTACTGCCAATATAGGAGTATTACATATATGATTTTACCGCATAACTTTGGACCTCGAAACCCGATTTTTATAAATCTCTTTTTGAAGGAAAGATGGTCTCATATTAATTTGGTTTAAATCCGATCATCGGATCATGAAGAAATAAACGATAATCTTAAATATTTATATGAGAATTGAAGTCGGCTTTGTTTTTTACTTAAAAATTACTTTTTTTTTACTTTTGTACCAAATTGATAGTTCAGCGTTTTGAGATGTTCGATTTTCTAGCTAAAAAAATAATAATTTGCCACAGATTTTAAGACACAATTTTCTTTTATAGAGCAAGTCGGATGCTAACAACAACAGCATGCCAAATTTAAATGCACAGAATTCCAATCCAAATGCTAACAATGGTATACATAGTGCTTCACATTCGTCTTCCGCTGCCCAGAATCAACATTTCATTAGTAGTGGATCGGGCAGCGGCGTCAATAGTGGTTCCGGCAAGGGTGGTCACATGCATAGACGCTTTCCGGCGCGCTATTTTAACAGCAACAAGGAGCGACCGCTGTTTTTGCGCAACCAAAGCAACAACAATAACAATAGCACCACAAACAACAGTAACACATCTGCTGGGCAGAATCTAAATAATCATAATCAAAATGATTATAACAACAATAATTCTCATATTGGTGGAGGTGTAAACTGTAAGTTTACTAATACACAAAAGACTAATAACGTTGGACAAAATAGCTCGAACCGTAGTGCTACGCCAAATTCGTCACACAGTCATACATCGTTACAAAATACAAAATCAATGAATACAAACATCGGAAGTGGTGGCATTAGCAGTAGTGCTACTGCTTCGCTTGCAGTTTCTGTTGCGGAGCATGGTATGCCATCGCCGCATGTAAACTCTGACAATCCTACGAGTGGAAATGGAGCGCACAACGGAACTAATGCCGGGAAAATGCCAACACAGGTGAGCATGGTGTATGATGTGCTTCGATTTTATACAGATTTTTTTTATTTATGTTTTATTATCATTATTATTTTTTTCAGACGGCACTCTCACCTTACCAAGCGCCTCATGCGAACGCCATGGTGACTGCCGCTTATAGCCCATATGGTGAGTTTAACGGTGATTCGCCAATGTCCATTGTCCAGCCAACCACGGCTGCTGGAGGCGGCATTTTCCTACATATGCCGATGCCAGCGCCTGCACATTCTTTTGGTATTTACGCACCGCCCCCACCACCACCACCCACTACCATGGGTATGCACCCGACGCCTACATCAACATCAACGTCATGCACGGCTTTATCTTATCCGCCACCACCTAATGGTGGACCAAGTCCACAATTCATTGCGTCACCATCAGATGCAGTAAATACCATTAATATGACACTACACAGACCATCCTCGAACGGTTTCTATCCAACGGCAGCTGAGCTGTCAGCCGCTGAGGCAGTTGGTGCGATACACGGCAGCGACGGATTACAATTTCAATGTATACCGTACGCTGGTGGAGCACCACCTCCACCGATGCCATTTTATTACGCACCTGGCACAGCTGTATCGGCTGGCGGTCTACATATAAATGGTATTGCAACGGTACCGCAACCGTCGTCACAGGCTGCAGCAGGTACTGCTGGTGGCGGCGGCGGTGGTGCCTGTGCGAATACAGGCATGCCAAATGGACCGGTGGGACCACAGGTATGTAACGTTTGTTTCCGAGTCATAAAGTTCTTAAGCGTAAAAAAAATGTTGCTATGTTAATAAATGTTTGAAATATTTTCTTTATTTTTTCAGGGGTATTGGTGCCAACCGCCGCCAAATGCTTTGCTACCTTTGCCCAAATCCGCGCCTCAAATTAATGGTGCTGGCGGCAGCGGCAATAATACACCTAATGTGAATGTAAACACCACAAGTAACCGATCACGTGACAACAAATAAGAACATAATTTTTATTTAAAAGACATCAGGTAATCTTTTAAATACTACTTAAAGTATTGTACGTATTAACTCGACAAATTTCTTTACTTCACTATAAAAAAAGATGAAGGGTGCGAAGCAAGTGCGGTATAACTTATGTATAGCAAAAATAAGCTATAATCGGTGAACTCACAATGTTTTTTTGTGGCTTCGATCGAAAATGAGATCTTTTTTATTCAAATTTTAATTACAATTCGTAGGAATTTCCCTTTAGCGCGAATTTTGCTTTGCTCACAAATCAAGATCGATTAAATATGTATGCATCATGCGTTAGTATTATTTATAGGCTATGAATATTTTCGTATTTTGCCATTTTTTTATAAAAAAAAAGTACTAGCCAGTATAATAATGTCATTGTTAAGGCGTCGCTAACGCATTTTTATTCGATGTCCATTCGTAACAGTTTTGTTTTTGAAGCTTAATATTTAAAAATATTTGTAATAATAAATATTTTATGTATGTATACATATACTAAATTGCACACATACACAACAAAACTTATTTATTACTCAAATCAACCACTTCTCAAAACTTTACCTAAATTACGCAAACCATTTCATATTTAAATATTGCTATTAATTTTTAACAAAGTTATTTAGACTAATATCGTTTATCGTAAACTCGTTTTTTACCTCACACAAATATGCCTTTAAAAAGTATGTAGTTTTTAAGCTCCATTTGCTTAGCATATTCAATAATTATATGTCCAGCAATTCATTATTTTTTATTATACTTAACAACCAATGCAATCGCATAATTGTTAACGGTACAATTTTTGCCACCCATTTACATTTGTCTTAAAAAATTCTTTGGCAATTTACAAAGTCATATTCTATTTAAAATTTGTTTGCAAACTGCTTACCTTTTATTCATTTCAAATTTCAATATTACCCATACACACACCATCATAATCTAATTATGTTAGCTATAGTTTTATTGATAGATTTTAACATTTTGTAATATATTAAATCATAAAAAAAAATCATAAAAAAACTAAAAAAAAAAATAAAAAAATCCACGTTTTAGTACGTAAGCAAAGCCAATCCACTGGACTTTTAAATTCTCACCGTCAATCTTGATTGAATGCATTAATGTAGCTCCTTTGGCCAGCTTTTGCTATATTTGGTTTGTTCAGTTGTAACGAATTCATTATTTTGAGTATGAGGTCAATGAAGCTCTGTGAATTTCCTGTATGTTCACGCTTCATTCGTTTCATTGCCTCCAGCGCTGTTTTATCCTCAAATTCCAAATCGGCGAAGTGTGTTTGTTGGGCAGGTTTTATGTCTGTTATAGCAGCTGTTATGGGCTGTAAATGAGGGGAAAAAATTGTTCAAAGAGAAAGATCGGGCGCATGTTTTTGCTTGAAATGACTTAAAACCATCTAATAATTGAGCTATTTGCAGACGTAAGTAAACATACTGTTGTTGTTGTTGTAGCAGCATACAAATTCCCCAAAGACTTTTTGGGGAGTGTTGCTGGAGTGACAGTCCTTGGCCAGATATAAATCTGGGTCGTTCCGATTACGTAGACCCGACTGTCGTGGGAACATACTTATTATGTACACCGATTTAATGCCAAACGTCATCTCTGTGGTCATAAGCAATAATCGCCTAAGTCGAAAAACCTGAATTCGATAAAAAAAAACGCTTTAAAGATTTGGATTGTAATGTTATCCTTATGGGGAAACCAAAACATTTTAATCAATAACTTTTTAAATAGCGTAGCTAACGAGATGGGAGTTTCACATACACATAGAATAGTAGTTGCAGAAAACGATAGCTTATATAACTCAATTCTTTGTTAAGTCGAATTAGGCGGTTATTGCTGCTTATGACCACAGATCTCTCTATTAAAGAATTTGCTATAGGAATTAGCCGAAAAGCCTTTTCAAGAGCTGTAAACGTCTGTTTATTATAATGATACCTTGTTTACGTCTATAGGTTATATGTGTGTAGTAAGGTAACCCAATAGAAGATTTCGGTATTAACTCGATTACGGCATATTGCAATATGGAGGTATCCTTTTCTTGAAAATTTGTTTATGGTTACTAGATAAAAGACGCCTAAATTACCCCAAAATACTGAGTCTTATTTTAAGAAAAAAAAATTCTTACGACTTTCGAGACATCAGCCTATTGGCAACAGTTCTCCATTTTATCTAATAAACAGAAACAAATTTTCAAGAAAATTAAAAATTATGTTTTTGAGAAAATTGAGTCTTTTGATTTCTCCAAAACCGGCCGCCATTTTTTTAATTAAAAAAGTATTCAAATTTTCAAGTATGGCAAATATAGAGCATTAAAAACACTTCTACAATCAAAAAACCGAATTAAAAAATATTGATTTTTAACAAAACTAGAAAGACATGAAAAAAATTGTCAGCCGTTTTTCTCTAAAACCACACTTTGCTTTAAAATTTTCAGATGCTCGTAACTCAGCGAACTTGTTTTTTTTTTTGCAAAACAAAATAAAACTTGTTTCTTTATTTGTCCTAAAAAATATGAAAGTCGTATTAAACTTGATTTCGAATTTTGAACCCATTCACCCAGCATGAATTGAAATAGAATCAGCCACGAGTAGTCCACTTGCAAACAGCGTTGAAAAAATTTTAATGTAATAAATTTCCGCCACAATCACTTGGAAAAAAAACAAATATTTTAAAAGCAAGCTTAGCAAGGTTTACCAAATATATCGACTCGTGCGCCATCTACCGGCAAAAATTTTAGTGGAGTTATTCCCTTTCATATAGTTAATACACGTTCTGCGTCACCTATCGGATTAACACATCTTTCGAATTACATTGCCATCGGTTTCTCAGCCAACTGTGAAGTTTCACGTCTCTGGGTCATCGGGAAGTTTGTCAAAAATTGATTGCAAGATTTGGCCCTAACCATATATGTAATATGTAATTCTATATTGGCTGTAAGCGAGCCAGTCTAGTACCGTTTTTGTGTATGTGTTGTGTACATGTTTATTTATAAACGTATGTGTTCCATTTCTTTCGTACGTGTTTATTGATATATCTTTACTGTAATGTTTTCGGACGGTACTAGCTCTTACTGCCAATATAGGAGTATTACATACACTGTTGGCCAATAAAATAGCACCCCCAATTTCAAAGTAATATTGTTTCCCACTCGTGTTTATTTTTTAGGAATTGTCAATTAAAATACAGTTCATTCTCTAACAAAACCCCATATAAATTCAAGTTGGAAAATTTTGTAAAAGACTACTAAAAAATGCCACAAAATTTCACCTAAATTTAAAACTTTTTTCTCATAAGTGTTAGAATTTTGAGTACGCAGTTTTATAGCCCATTCAATTTTAGTCGTAACAATATGTAAGTTTCAAGTGGCTAAAAATCACCGTTGATTTTTTAGATTTTTTTTTTCGGCGGTGTTGCGGGTTTCTTTCATATAAAAATAAATTGTGTTTATTCGTTATATGGAAGCAAACGCGAAAGAAATTCTAAAAAATCAACGGCAATTTTTAGCCACTTGAAACATGCACATTGTTAGAACGAAATTGAATGGGCTATAAGTCGATGTACTCAAAAAAATTGTAACACTTCTGAAAGAAAAGTTTGAAATGTAGGTGAAAATTTGTTGCATTTTTATCAGGGACGTGAACCGGATGAAAAATTTGGTCGGTTCGGTTCAGCGGTTCGAACCGTTGTTGCACTTTTGGATTGGTTCGTCAAAGCGGTTTTTTTGGTCTTTGAACCGGGGTTTCGGTTCGGTTCAACGGTTCAAAAAACAAAAAAATAACGCGCAAATTTACGTGTCCAGTGTCAAGTGCAACAACGCGCAAGGTTAAGAGTCAAGTGAGATGGGATGCCTTTACATTTGATATTGTCACATGGTAAAAAAACATGGTAGGTATTACCATGTTTAACAAAAAGAAAAAAAAGTGGGTACATTTATCTATTGAAAATTGGTTGAAACGAACGTTTAAACCTTTAAAGAAAGTGGTTCGGTTTTCGGTTCGGATCAAACATTTGTGAAAAATTTCGGTTCGGTTAATGGTTCAGTTAATTAATAGAAAAAAGCGGTTTTCCGGTTCAAAACCGGTTCGATTCAAAACCGGTTCACGTCCTTGATTTTTATAGTCTTTTACAAAGTTTAAAACTTGGGTTCATATGGGTTTTATTAGAGAATGAACTGTATTTTAATTGAAAATTCCTAAATATAAATAAATAAACGTGAGTGTGAAACAATATCACTTTGAAATGGGGGTGCTATAGATATGGCCAATACTGTATATATCTTATTTCTAAATTGTCAAGCTGGTACAATTTATAAAATCTACAGTTTATTAGCTTTACCAAATACCTAATATTTAAAAAATCTACTAAATAATTATAAAGTTGTAAAATACAGGTATATTTATCGTAAAATTTTGAGGAGGAAACTAAAGCACATTCTATGTAAATGTTTCTACATGTTTCTATGGTGTAACATCAAAACAAAACGATGCTTTCCATTTTAAAATTCGTCTAACATATTGTATTTCGTAGTATTTAGTCTATTTGCATATTTCTAGGGCTTGATAGCGAGAACTCGAACACTTTCTCAAATACGGGTCACCCTAATGTAGTATACTAGAATTCACAAACAATACAAATTTGTATGTGGAAAAAGGCGAACCTTGAAAACTGCATTCAGTGCAATCAAGCCGAAAATTGCAACAACTGCAATATGCTTCATGGTTTCCGCCAACCTAGAGAGCAGTGCGCTTATTGAGTCAAATTTAAGTATGGCACTGTTTGGGTTGCTACCTTCTTGTCTGCTGTTCTTTGCTCGATTTTCTTCAATTTAATTTTGTACTTCCAGTTGACTTTGAACTTGTAATACTTTTAATACATAAATGCCGTTTTTGGGTTTTTTTATGCATCAGAGCAGCTGATTTTTATTTGCACCTTTTTTATCGTTATTTTATGTTTAGCCGAATTTTCGCGCGCGCGTTTAAGGTTCTACAACTTGACTGAGTTTATTTTGCTACTGTTTGTGTTAGCGTTTTTATCACTTTCTGTGTCAAATAAGCTTAGCATTTTTTTTTTTATATCTTTTTACTATATTGCAGGTTTGACCCAGATTTGTGAGGGTTTATTGGTATGTTTGTTGTTTTATTATAGTAATTTTTGCTTGCAGCAAGTATGTACATACATATGCTTTGATCGAGGAAACTTGGGAGTTGCCTATTGCGTGCAATTTAACTGCAATGGGTTGTGATTTTGCTGCTTTATGAACGTGTATGTACAGTGGCGAGCAAAAGTATCAAAATTGCTATTTTTTTTTAATATTAATATGTTAAAAAAAAATAACAATTTTGGCACTTGCTTCCCACTGTATGCCAGCGTCAAGAATATGCATACCCTGACGTTTTTACGATTTTATTTATTTATATTTTCCATATAAAATTTTTCTAATTTCATGTAGAACTCGGCGGAAAATTGCCAGAAATTCCAAGAAATTTTCAAGCTTTGTTGCCCATTAAATTTTTGAATAATAATGCAAGTTTCAAGCTGCTAAAAACCGCTTAGCCTAGTCAAGTTAGCTCAATAAACAGGGATAAAGCTGAAAATTGGTATGAGTGTTGCGAACACCATTATGAATGAATTGTCCAAAGTCTCCATCGATCCCACGTCTACTAATAACTTCTACATTTATTATTAAATTTAGATTCGCAAAGAAATTAAAAGGGTGAGAAAATACTTTACCTTAATGATACCTCATAAGCAGGGAAGGGATTCTATGGAAATTGCCTTTTTTTCTGCTAAAGAATGAAAATGCTGCCAGAAA